TCATCCAATTCAGGGGATTAAGTCTTCCTTTATAGTGCAATTCTTGTACAAATTTATAAAAATACAGATAAAGTTTCTTAGAGCTGGTCACAGTCTATATTTTGGCCTGAATTCATGCTGCAGAGGTTGAATATGACAGCTGGCAGGAAGCTGAGGGGAGAATACATCCTCCCCCTTTTCAGTCACCACATTTCTGTTGCCATAGTGATTAATCCTCAATTGAATGGCTGTCTTTGTACATTTCTTTTCAGTAAAACTTTAAGTAAATTTAAGTTGAAAACATGTAGTTGACAGAAAAAAAGACTTTACATATTCAACAGGTATAGTACAAGCCCTTGTGACTAATACTTTTCCATATATTAATAAGTGCAACTCGCTCTAATATGGAACATCATCAGTTTTTCAAATTAGTTAGTAGGTCCTGTTCCCATCTTCTGTCTTTCTTTGTGAAACCTCCAGGCCTTCTCCAAAGACTTCCCCATGCTCACACAGCGCCCCCCCCCCCCCCCCCCCCCCCGGACTCCTACTGAAGAAATACTACACAAATTCAGCTGTATAAGAACTAGAGAAAGCCTATCCCAGACTTCCATACTGTGCAAAACATTTAACGTAAGCTGTTTTTGCCAATTAACAGAGAAATTAGGAAATTCATTAGGAAATGCATTCATTTAATTCAGAATAGACTAGAAACATTAGAAGATATTTAAATCTTGCCTCTGGGAGTTTTCTCTTTCTTATGGTAGCTAAGAAAAAGTTTCACAAGTAGAAGTTTCAGTGCAAGTTACCAAAACCCCAAATATGTAAAAAGCTTCTGCACTGAAATCAGGTTGCTTTGGAACCTGGAGCCCACCAAGAAAATAAAATCTCTAAAAATACTTAGTAGATGACTAAGGCCTTACAGAGTTAGTTAACACTTCCTTTCTTTCCTCGAAATAATTGTCACAATAATTCTGAGCAAAGTATCACATTAATTACTCAAGACTTTTCTTTCTCTCCGAAAGGCTGAAGTAAATGTAGGTCTGCTCTGAAAATTACAGTCTGCCTTTCCAAGTCCACCATGTACAATCTACAAATTCATTCCACACATTTGCTTTAAGAAGCTTTTGTTTTCCATACGATTCTTTCTATGGTTACACAAGATAGTTATTTCTGGTTTTCATCTTAACATATGTTCTTAACATATAGTGATGTGACAATAGACAGCAATCTTCAATTTGTTCAATGAAAACACATTGTTTAAAAAGTTTATTAGCACAAGACTTGAATTTCAACTCAAGTGCAGAACACAGAGTGCTCAATGTCATCAAATCAGGCTAAACCAAACAAAATAATCCCAGAAAAAACCCAAGATATTTATTCCAGTAGATTAATTTGCAATATAATCTTTCTCCTTCACCTTTGTATATAACATAGGAAAACCCTTCCTATGAATAATCTTCAGTGAAGCAGCATATAAAGTATGTTTTGTTGTCATATAACAGCTCTTGGTAATCTTTACTGGAGTGGCCATGTGCCAAAATGAATGACATGCATTTTCTACCTCAAGGTGTTTACTATAGCCTCATGTGATTCTCTCTGCATCATGGCATCACAAATAGAAATGAAACTCACACTTTAACCCTCATGACTTCTTAGCAAAGATTATGAGTAGCATGAGATCTCAAACTGTACAGACACACCTGTCTACTTTCTGTGACACTTAGGTTCTGGGACATGCAAGTAAAGTTTATAACTATAAAGGAAGATGAGATGTACTATTGACCTATTGTACAGTATAATCCATATCTCCAAAATTTCTTCAAAAACAGCTGTCTACCACACTTTTGCATTGAACAGAAATCCCTGGCTTTGTTTTGATTACTGAGGCTCTAAACACCTCCAAGTATTGACACATCAGTCCCTTCTGCATAAGCAGCACTATCAGAAACATCATCTCTTTGAGGGAAGATTGTCATACTGTTCTGTGCTTCATCAAAAGAAGTGTGGCCACAGGTCAAGGCAGGTGATTCTGTACCTCTGCTCTTAGTGCAGAAAAAAGCCACATATATGAGTGGAGGGATGGAACACCTGTCCTATCAGGATAGGCTGAGAGACTTCGAGTTATTTAGCCTGGAGAAGAGAAGACTCTGAAGAGAACTTCCTTTGACCCTTCAGTACTTAACAGAGGTCTGTAAGAAAGATGGAAAAAGACTTTCCATCAGGGCCTGGTTTTGATCTAGACAAGACATAAGGAAGAAGGCTTTTTGACAGTGAAGATTGTAAAATACTGCAGCTGGTTGTTCAGAGAGGCGGTGGATGCCCCATCTCTGGAAACATTCAAGGTCAGGTTGGATATGGCTCTAAGCAACCTGACCTAGTTGAAGATGTCCCTGCTGATTGCAGGAGGGAGTTTGAACTAGAATAACTTTAAGGGTCATACCCTATAGATCTTATGTATTTTCTTCTCAAAATCTACAGCAATCTTATACTGACAGTGGTGGGCCATGGTCAGAATACAGACAATCTTCAAACAAAGGATAATAACATTCAATACAGGAACTATTAGTATTACAATATTTTTATTATAATTCTAATTCTAAGCATTCTGCATTTAAGACATATCATGCCACGTCCATCAAAAAACTCCAGTTAATCTTACTCTTTTCACTCATCATACTTGCAAAATAAACTATAAATGAATCTCCACTGCTGTAGATGATTATTTATGAAAATTTATTCTCTAACAACTTGACAATGTCTTTCTTCACTGAGAATGCTGCTTCAACTCACCTAACACCTAGAGCATCTTCTTCTATTTTTATGCAATCCCACTGACTTCTGTGATAAAAGGAACATGCTTCACAATGGATCACGTGATAAAACACCTTTCCACATATGCTAGCTGCTACTATTGTCATACACAGACTTTCTTTTATTCAGGTGCTGGACAGGATTTATTTTGGATAATGATATTAAATCAAATTATGGTTTATTCTCTTGCTTGTACAATTAATGCATAGTTTACACTGTTACATTTATTACTTCTGCATTTTATCTCACCTTTCACAGCTGCTAAGTTGTGAGACAGGTATCATGATGTCTTGTTTATGTTTCTTGATGGCATACTTTATATTCTAGTTGCCGCCACCAAACTGTGTCTTTCAGAGTCATACAGCACTTATAGAAATACAGACCAAACAAGCACTCAGTACTATAAATGTGAACATTCTAGCTAAACTAGTCAGTTGGCAAAATTCATTTAAAAACCTTATATAGACAATGTGACTACACTCCCTGTCAGCTCTGGGGAAAGAAGTGTAAAAGGCTCTGCAGTCTTGAATCCAGGACTGTTATGGAACCTGGAGAACAAAGAAAGCAAGAAAAAAAATAGTAGTAAGATCTATTTCTCATAAAAAGAATCAAAGTTTTGTCTCCTTAAGTCTTTAGAGGTACTGGGCAATAGCAGATTAAAATAATATGTTCTACCTGGTCAGAGAAAAGGTAGCTAGGATGTACGAATACTAGGCCAGGTAAAATTAAGGACAGACTGATAATAGACATATCACTGGATAAAAAAATAAGCTTAATTGAAGCCTACAGTTTAAAAGGTTAAGAGAGACTTGACCCAGAACTACACTAGTGCCAACTGTGCAGATTTAATACTGGCCTTCTAAACTCAAGAAAAGAAAATATCACCAAGGTGAAATTTGATGTAAGAAAAGGTGTTCAAGTCTTACACTTTTTTACAATAACCAATTTAAATACTAGCTTGTTAGTTACTTATGTTCTTAGGTTGTTCTACATACCTTCAGTTATTTTCTGAGGAACAAGACTTGCTGCCTCCCATCCCTTCTAAGTTGGCTCTCAAGGATCTTCTTCCCATGCAACCACTCTCACTTTCAAAGAGACCTCACAGGTTTTGCAATCTGCTCCAGATTTAAGCAGTTACTACAATTTAAGCTACCACATTAGTCTCCATGACTCAACAATAAATGAAGCACTAATAAACCAAATTGATACTTTTAGGTACTACAGGTAGACAATCAGGAAGAAGACATTGCTTTATAGTGCTTTCTAGTAACTTATTTTCTCTGTTACTCATGTTCACATTATTTCCATAAATTAGCTACTGAAACTAAAGACCTTAACCTCGGTTCTAAAAGTTCGAAAGAAGTAGTGAATCAAAAATGAGATTAGGTGGCTAGTCAATAGCAAGCAGTCAACATGTCAATGTTCTTGCAAGGGGTATTCTTTATTATTTGCTTTAGCTTATTATAATATTGCTTATTATCCCTGTCATTCCAGATTTCTATGTAAGCATGAAACAAAAATGTCACTCTCCTACCAAGATTTGTAGGATTTTGTATTTCCCAATTTACAACTCATCCAATTCAACAGAATACTTAAGGTTTTTGAAAATTCTTGAACCCCTTTCACAGAGACATAAGTTGTTGCTTGGAAAATGTTTTTACAATGTATTACATCAGAGAAGTATTATTACAGACTGCTCACTGAATGAAATTGGAAAGCAGGAAGACAGAGTTGCCATAGGTAAAATGAACACACAGGGCACAAATGAGCACAAATGACATACTTTTTGGTCCTGAACAGACCTGTCTGTGAAATGAAAATAACCTTTCTTGATTGCTTCTACTTAGAAATAAAACAATTCGATTAGCTGTTCCTAAGAAGGGACATAAATATTATCAGAGTATAAATATTATTCAGATGCCTTCATGATGGTATCACATAAAGCTTCAGCCTAAATACACTGTAAAAAAAGCTTCTAATTAAGGATCTAATATAACTGATACCCAAAGCCAACAGAAAGAGCTACACAACAGTTTCTGAGAAACTATTAGACCAATGACACTTGAAATATACATTAATAAGGAATTTCAAAATTTCTGACAAAACTTTGTTTTTTCTTCAGTAACTGTCAGTTTCCAATTAACATTCCAACATTCAAAACTGTAATTTTATTTACGTAAAACAATTATGGAAATTTAAATGACTCAGCTGTATGTTTAATATTACACATGATGCTACTTTAATCTACTGAAAAACATTTTTATTAAGCAGCATTATTTATGATAAAACAGGTAGATGCTGAGACAGTGAATGTCCTAACTTTCAGCAAAAGCCTGAGGGCCAGAAGCACAACAGTGACCATGTTTTTTCACAAAATGTCTTCTAAGGAAATACCAAGTAATGAAGAAAGAAAAACAGTATCAATAAAATTCTAAGTAGAGAACCTTTCAAAATTGTATAAGAAGCTCTCTTTTAAGCAGACCACAAAAAGCTCAAAACGCCACATCTAAGAATAGGCAGTCATCTATCTTTTATTTCTACTTTAGTGCCTTTATGTAAATGAATAACAGGAAGTGAAAAAACAGAGAGGCAGCCTTCTCTGTATGTTTTGATGCTCTTCCTACTTAGATCTCCAAGAGAAATGATACTACTGTTGCTTCTGAGTGAAAAGTGCATACCTTAAAAAACCTGATGAGTTAATCAAGGTAAGTTAATTTGCAATACTTGCAGTCACATAACTCTACATAATAAGCTCTAAGTTACATGAACATCACAAACTAGTTTTTAACAGAGGTGGATCACAGACATTTACTCAAAATACTCTCTTCAAAGTTTTCTTTCATTTTTATTTGGTTTTAATAATGTTGTCAGCCATTGCCAATTAATAAGTACCTTCCTACCGTACTCTTGAGTATTTTTGACCAACTTTTCTGCTAATGAGGAACATTCTAATGCAAATGTGTTAAAATTGAAAAGGCCTTACTTTTACTGGTTCGCCTGGTTTGATCTTCACAGTATAAAAATTTTTGGCAACTCTGCTAATGGCTTAATTAAATACAGTAAAACAACAGCACTGGAAGAAACTCTTCTGGCCACTGTGGATGTTCAACACCCCAGAACAACACAGTCATATGTCTACAATTTCTGTAAGGATAGCTAATGTGTCTGTAAAGACTAAGCTGCACATTCATCAATGACTTATTCTGTGCTTGTGGTTTATCTTAAAAATCAGTCTAGGAAATTGCAAATGTTTATTACAAAGCAAGCAACCAAGTACCCAGATAATCAGAGCATTGTGTAGTAAGAATAAAAAATATGAAAGATGTACCTGAATTTATTCCAGATTTGTGTGTATTCCAAATGCAATTAAACAAGCTACCAACAAGAACCAAGCTACAAGAACCAACAAAAAACATTAAGCATATCCATTGCTGCCAATAAGAACTCCCAGTAAACTCTACTTCTATGTTTAAGACATTAAACATAGACAGTTTGACTTAACTATAGCAACTGCATATGCTCACCTCCCCAAGAGAGTCTGCAAAACTGATGTATGTTCAAATTTCTATGCTACAGAGTGTCCAGAACATACTGTGGCAACTGGATTTTTGTTAAATGGATCCAGGACAAACTGAAGATTTTTCAAGGCTCAAATCAGAAAAACATGGCACAGAATTTGATTTCAAAACTCTGCCTTTAATCTTAACATTTCTCCCACAGAAAAATCCCACAGAGGGTGCTGTGCTGTTTAATTCCCAGCTCTTTCAAAGCTGGCTAATGTAAAAGCCACCCCAAAAAAACAAAGTAATTTATTAGACTTCCAACTGAGCATTCTCTTCCTCCCATCCTCAGTGTCTTTGATCATTCACGGTGGCCAGTAACAGAAAAACAAGTTTTTTAGAGCTTTTTAAGATGAAAAATGAGGATAAAGAAAAGTTAAAATGACATTTCCAAAAATATCTCTTTACCTTGGCACTATAGACAGCTACATTAGCAGGGAGCTGGGAAAACTGCTTCAACTCAAACACGTCGTGCACCGCCCATCGGCTCAAGTGATTTTCAGCCTTGCTGGACCCAACCACATTCTGATTTGAGTGAATATATGCCACTTCTTGAACGCCATCTGATACATCATGAGAAAAATACAAGGATGTTAATCCAAAACACTGAAGGTACACATCTGCACTGAAGGATACTATAATTTAAAAAAAAATTACACTGAAGTTGTAAAATTTCTTACGATTTCACTCACCACCACATTACTCAGTTCTGTGAAATTAACAACAATCATTAGACTTATTTGTATTTATCCAGATAGTTTAATACTACTTCAGTTTTAGTGTGGTTATTTTCAGATTGACAAAGACATTTCAAAGCATCTATGACTTAACAGCTGCAACATCAGTGGTTAAAATTAAGTCTTTACGGATCAAGTCTTCCACATGGTGTTTAAAACTCCCAAACCACATTTTTTTCTGTACACTTTATTTAATAGCCCTGTCAAGACTTGTAAGATTTTACAAATATTTAGTTTGTGAATTTTTAATAAATCTTCAATCTCAGCATATTTCAAGAGATCGTAAGAGTTTAACCAAGAATTACAAAGCAGCCTATCACTCCGTAAGACAGAAAAGTAAGACTAATAAAGAGAAAGACACACAAAGATATTTTTGAGTAACAACTTTTAGCAGAACATTTACTACAACTTATAACAAAAAAATGTACAGCAACAAGAATTTATAATCTGCTGACAATGGTAAATTAGACATATGGGATTACTTTAGCTGAAATAAAATTAAACAAATTAACTTAATAGTCACCTAAATATTTGTCCATTGATTCCATTCTTTTCTCTTGATGCTCAAATACAGTTTTACTTGCGTAAGTGCTATGCATAGCATAATTACTTGACTTCATTTGTGCAGCAGATGTGTCTTGAATAGGACACAGCATTTTAGACCCAAACTGAATTCTGCTACTCTGTTTACTCCTATAGCTTTTCTTCCTGGCATGAATTTTCTCAACTGGAAAGTTATCTTCAGAGGATGAGAATTCATCTATATTCTGGGAATCACTTTCCTTTCCTTTTCCATAGGGCTTCTTTGCTTGTGGTAGAGATTTCTTCCACTTGGGAAAACTCAGAGTTCCTGGCTTTCTTGATTCAGAATTATGGGGAAGTTCAATATCATCAGACTCATCGCTTACATCGCTCGTTCCTTTCAAATCTACGTCATTCTTGACATCTTCAAAAGACATGGCAAAATTTGACTCAGTCCTGTGGAATCCAAATTGTCTACTGTTTCCCTTAAATACAAACCCAGCTTTTTCTAACTCTTCACAATTTTCAGATGTTGACCTATGTATTTTAACTTCTTTAGTAAGTACTGGTTGCTGGCATACTTGAACTTGGGTAGGAAAGATGACATCATCCTCTGCTTCAGAACTACTTTCAGTTTCCATGACTATGTCACATTGCTTTAAAATGCTTTGATTCTCATTTTTTGTGTCGCCTTCCTCCTCAGAGCCTGATAAACCAAGCCATGCTGTACTATGCATACTTTGTTTATCACTTCCATTTGGAGACAGAACAGCTTTCCCATGCTCCAAAACAGGCACACTAGTTTGACATTTCTGAAAACCATCGTGCTTGCTATTTACATTTTTTCTTACAGTGTGAGAATCAAAACTTGAATGATGAGAGTCAAAATTGTGACCCCCTTCTCTGGTAGTCTCAATTTCTCTCTGCAACAACTTAGAGAATCCACACTGCATTAAGGAAAGCTGTCCTTTTGTTACATTTTCATTGCATGGCTTCCTTCTGTCAGATTTTTTCACAGAACTCTCCAGAATATCATCATCACTCAAATCATCCCAAAAATCAGTTTCTTCTCTTTTTAATTGTGCCTGAATGCTTTGGGGATCTCCATCTTCTTGACAGTCTGGTTGTTCATACTAAAAAAAAAAACAAAAACAAAAAAACACCTGCAAAGTTACTTAATATTTATAGTATACTCAACATGCCTAATTTAAAAGCAGTGTAAAACAGTGGATTTTCACTGTTACTCAAGCAAAAAATACACAAAATAGTATTATAAAATGCAAAATAATTAATAATGAGAAATTATTGAAGTCTTATTTTTAGCAGAAAAACACTGAAAATAACCAAAAGTACTTGAGACAATATATGCTGTACACTGCTAAAACAACTTATGCCTTCCCAATCCACATCCATATATTTTAAGTTTATACTAATCTCATTGCTACTTTTCATCTTTCAAGGGTGCTTTGGAAGGTGACTTCATGATTCAAGCTTTAATATTGTGTGTAATGACATTCATAATAAAAATAAATCTAAGGTAGTGGTTTACTTCCTTGTATATGAATGCTAACATTCCACTCTAAAATTCTCAAGGCCTACTGTAATCAAACAAAATAATGCCAGGCAATCTTAAAATGTTTTTAAATAAAAGTCCAGAATCCCGCTCTACAACTGAATACTACTGAGGTAAGAATTATGACAGCCTGTAAATAGAAGTCAGAACCATAAATACCAAAATGCTGTACTCAGAGACATTTTAAAATTAATATATTAATCCTGATATAATTCTGCTCATCAAAAAGCATTAACATAAGCTTAAAAAGCTGCCGTTTGTCAGCAAGCCATATGTGAGATCATGACCATCCAGTTATGTATTATGAATATGAGACTGAGATCAATGTAAGGGCACATTAAATACTGACATATACTCACAGAAATCTCCAACAGGCATAAGAGACAGTGGCTAATTTGTAATATAATTCAGTGCAATCTAATCCAATGATACCTTTACTCAAAGTATCTGAACATGGCACTCAGTGAAAACATTCCTACAAATGCAATGCTCCTATTAAAACTGGCCTTTGTTGGAAAAAAATTAAAAAAAAATCTTATTCCGGAAGGAAACCATTAGATAATTACATACATTAAAAAGAAAAAAAAAGACAGTATTGAACAGACCACTGGTTTGGTGGGAACCACTCTGATTGTCTGACTACAATAACTAAATAGCCCAGATCTTCTAGAGTTCCACAAAACCTGAAGCTTGCAATCATCTAAACCCCTAGTACTCTTTTCCACAATTCCCTAAACAAAATCTTCTTAACAACCCGGTAAAAGTATCATCAGCCTAATGATATATTGCCCACATTTGCCACTGCAATATTGGGAACTGGAGGCCTGTCATGCTCTGGTCTACAGTCCACAAAGACATCTCACCTTTTCTGAGCTGCACGAACGATTCTCTTCCTTCAGCCATGTGGTTGCTGTCATGACTCCTGCTTCTACCTGTCCTTCCCTCTAAGACAATCAAACAGTTAACATAAACAGATTCAGTTTTTATTACACACAAGGACAAGCACAGGAAAAAGAAATTGCCTTTGTTTTTCAGAAGTGTAAGTACCAGAAGTAAAATCAGCATGGTCCAGACTAAATTCTTAGCAGAGGAAAAATAACAAAATAAAGGGAAGGATGGAAAGAAAAAGAAACATGGACTAAAGCTGCAGTAAATCTGAAGATGTAAGCTAGCTGCAGCAAACTTTTTAACAGTTATTGACATCCCAAAAGTACTCTAAAGAGGTTAATGTGATCATAAAAAATATTTTTATGATATGAATTCTGGCTTAAAAGGCCAGTATGAGTTTCTGATGAATAAGAGGTATCTGTGCACAAAGCTGCATGAAAGGATCAAAAAATAAGTTATGTAGTTTTTAATGCAAAAAATATATATAGTAGGAAATTTTTGAAAATTATAAACCAAGCTTTTACCATTCTTGGATTTAGAGAAATTTATCTGGTTCATATCATAACGAGAAATTAGCATGCCTATTTCATTTAAGTCATTGCCCAGATAAGTATTGGTTAAGTATCATCATTCTGTTTTATAGTGTTTCTGTTCAAAACAATGACCAAGAAGTCTCACAAGAAAGTAAAAATGTAAAACTAATATCCAAAAGTAAAAGGGTAGTACTTCATACCTCCAGTATGTCTTTGGTAAGACAGGACCCATGAGTCCTAAGTTTGAAAAGGTTATGAATCCCAAAAAGCTCTCCTTGATGTTCCTTTGATCCTTGCACTGCCTCGAAATACCGCCTGGCATTTTCAGTTCCAATCACTGCACAGTGAAGTTGCTAAAACAGCAACACAAGAGATTTCAGAAGTGTTTGCTACAACAACACGTCAGAATTTCCTGGCACCCACATTATATACACAGCTTTAGCTGGAACAAGCAGAAATTCCTAAGCAAGGATATTTTGTTTTAATTTTCCCCGGTTGGTATAATAGATTGTAGTATAATATGAACCTGCTTGGCTTTACCAAAAAAAAAAAAAAAAAAAAAAAAAAATAGAACATTTGAAGTCTTTTACTGCATTGTTGCCTATCATCAGGCACCTGCTATACATGTTACTGGCACTCCTCTGTATCTTGACAGCTCAGCTTCCACTATACTAAATTATCAGCAATCTTTTCACCTTCCTTTGCACTGTATATTTACTTGCTAAGGGAAAGCAATCCAAGTATAGCTGAGAAAAACTCAACACTCAGACTTATAATTACTCTTGTTTATTACTGCGTATCCAACTTGAAAAATACAAGTCAATTTGAAAAAAAAAAAAGAAAAAGAAAAATATTTATACATCCTTTCAAGACTTATACATGCTTTTTGGAAATCCAAACAGACAATATCCAGGTCTTCTTTTTCTACGAGATCATCAACTTTTCTTCTATAGCATCAGCAAGATTTCTCCTTTCCTTTCTCCAGACTTTCATGAGAAAAAGCTGTGTGAATCAGATTGCTGCAGATACTATAACTATCACAGGTGTACTTCATACGCCTTCAAATAAAAACAGTTTTCTATATAACCTGAATAATGTACATTGCATAATTAAATTGTGAATAGTTAAAGAAAAACACTTGAATAGAAATATTATTCTGTACCATTCTTTAACAGCTACTAAGCTTGGCTTAGTATGTTAAGGTAACATCACATACCATAAACACAAAGTAAACTACAATTTTACTACAGGCTAGATTAGCTTTCAGTCCCTGAAAAAAGATTAGCTTTCAATCCCTGAAACTGCTGGGAAGGGCTCCCCATTTAAACAGTTTGTGAGCTTTACCTGCTTATACACTTGTCGCAAGTACATCATCTCTTCCACAGTTCCCAAGGATATCAATCTAAACACTTTAACAGCTCTGTGTTGGCCAATTCTATAAGCTCTGCAAGGACATGGCACATTAAAAACATCTGAAGAAATGAGAGCTCTTAGAGGTAGCAATAAACAGTAAACAAACTAAATATAAGAGCATTCTAATAAAACAGGACTATTTGAAATCATGCATATGTTGATTGGGCTGTTTTCCTTACTTTTTCAAATTTTCCACAGTAATTGATTTCCTTTTCCTTTACCTTTAATATTTCATATTTCTCCCCAGGCCCATCCAGTTTAAAAAGCCTTCTCCTCATTTTATATCACTAGAACTGTCTCCCACCTCTCCACAAAACACATCCACTCTGTTTATCTCAGGTTTGTTGGGGTTTTTTTTCCCCTTTGTGTCTCCACCTACTTTTGCTCAAGGTATTCTCCTATTTCCATTATACAGAATTAACTCAATTAACTGCTACTTGGAGCAGTCAGTTCTTTCTTAACTTCATAAATTAATTTACAAGATACAACATCATAAAAACAGCTAATGAACTGGCATTGTGTTTTATTCAAATGGTAAATTCTGAGACGTCTAATAGACTATATTCCACAAAATTCACAGGAGGCTAAAACAATTCATAATAATGTGATCTTACAAAGATTCTTTAAAGATAGTCCGCAATACATGTTTGTGATATATTTCTCTAGAACAGGTGCACATAAACACATCTCAGAAACCAGAAAGACACTTAAAACAGGATTACATAATTGCATGAGATAACAGAAACAAGTGTATTTCTGCTCATGAAAATATATAAATCTACTGAATTTTTAATATTCTTTTATAGGTTTTAAGTATTCTTTACTTCAGTTACTAAAAGGTCTGCCTTGAATTCCTAGGGAAATATCAAGAGTCAAAAAGCCTTGAAAGAAAAATCTGCATTACTGTAAATACTCCAACACCATAATATCAGAGATTGATATGACTGCTAAAAAGACACTAATCTCCACAATTGTGAAGCAGAAGAGAACATAGGGAGCCCCTGTCTTTTATGGTTTGGGAATTCAAAACACCATTTAAACTGGGGTCAACTGCAATGTATTCTTCAAGAAAAATGTCATCTACAGACACATATATATTCTAGGGATCACAAAAAGTTATAGTAACCACAAGGAGTTTTTTGTTCAGTTTTTGTTTGGCATACTGCTGCAAAAAAAAAAAAAAAAAAAAAAAAAAGAAATAAAGGAAAATATATTGTAAAATTTAGGTTAAAATAATCGTATCAGAGTTAAAAACTAATTTAGTTGGACTTTTCCTATTGTCTTGTAGATTAATCAGACAAAGTAAAAAATTTCTTACTTGAGAAAAAAATTTAGTTGGACAATCAGATTATGGAATCAATGGAAGAGTGCAACATGGATCAAGTTCTGTATTTTGAGAGTGTACCTGTCAATTGCTTGAAGATCATTTGCTGGATTCCATGTAGGATCAAACAGTATAACAACATTGGCACCAACAAAATTAAGACCCAGTCCACCAGCCCTGAAAACATAAAAATGAAAAACCAAAACTCTATGATAGTAAGAAAAAAACCTGCAACTAGATTGTTCTGTATTAGGTCCATACTTGCCTACCCTTCCCCAACTTAAAAAAAACCAACAAAACACATGAAAGATACTGAAAAAATTGCAGTACAGCTTTGTGTTACTGTTGTACTAACAACCACCAAGTACTCAAATAACCACTGCCATTAATTTCCCATTAAGTCCTACACAGGGCAATACCCCCAAATATTATAACAAAATTCATAACCAGCTTTATGCCAGTTAATATTACAGGTGAAATTTTACTTCAGCTAATCCCAGTACATAGTTTTTGACAATAATGCTGCGCAACTTTCACTAAAGTGGTCACAATCTCAGAAAAGCCATATCTGTAAGCAATAACAACTAACACAGGTGTATTTGTACAGTAAGTTATTCAGCTGTTAAAAACACAGTTGGCCACGCTGCATGTGAGCAACATTCGTACCAGTCATTAAAGGGAAAAAAGTCACAGTGAGAAATTTATCTGCTCTGTGGGTCAGGAGTCACAGGGGTACCACCTGCATCATCTCAGAACACTCAACAGCTACAGAGTGTTTTCAGGTAAGGCCTGCAAGCCAGAGAAGAAATTGAGCATACATCTAACCTGATGCAGCTAACTCCTGAACCCTGCAAAACTGCTCAGTTACTCGGAGTTTAGCATGTGCTTAGATGAATGATTTGATAGGAGCAAAAGAGAGGAAAATACCACTTCTCATCCAGCTGCAAAGGAAGCAAATACTGAATTTTTTATTTTGACTGGCTCAACCAACTATCATACAAAAGATTTAAGTTCCTACATGAGCACAAGCTAAATACTATCATTAAATAAACTATTAAAACAATTATTCACATTAGCATAGGCATCACTAATTCCAAGTGCGCTATTTTTCTGAAACAGGTACTGCAAAATTGAAAAAGTAAATCCCATTTAACTTATCAAGCACCTAGTTTAACAGATTACTTTAAATTTTGCTTGTTTGAAGCAGATAAGAAATACAAGGAAGGTAAAGTTTTCAGGTGTAAGAGTGAATGGAGACAGAAACCAAAAACTTATGGAGCCCCACCACCTTCTGGTTTTCATGGAATCCATGTCAATGTAAATGCAGCTGTGGCCTTTCCTTTCTAAGTATGGTGTAGCTTTGGGTCAGTTATATCTGGAAAGGAAGGGGATATAGAAACTTGCCAATACTAATGGATGTTGCCAGAGAACTCACATTCTCAAACTGTGAGTTACTGAATAACAATATTTGGTTGGGTTTTTCTTTCAGAATACATTGTGGTATTTTTCAAATTTAGCGTGCTTCTTTTTAATGAAAAAACTCTTTCTTATTAGGACTTCAGCCTCTCCTGTTTCCAAACCAACCCTGTAGTTGGACTGAAACATAAGTAAAGATGTAAAACCAACTGTCCATAAAAATTAACAAAACAGGATATCTAGATTTATACTAATTTTACCTCTCAGTGTTTTTAGGTATGACCCAAAAATTCAGTTAGTCCAAAACAGAGAAGAATGGCTCTTATATCCTTCATAGACAGAACAAATGCAGAAGTTTGTGCATTGTAAGTTACATACTCCATTTTACCTCTCATTTTAACTAGCAGCTAGTCATTACTGCAATTTGGTCCATGCAAATTAGTATGATATGGCTTAAATAAAGAGTTTCATTAAAAAGAACAGTTTTCAGAAGACGATCATACTTAAATCTGCACAACTTAGTACCTCAAAAGGTACAGAACAATACTATATTAGGAAAGGTTTTATGAAAGCTTTGATTATGTAATTCTGTTTACCAAGCTAGGTTTTCTATAGTTTCTATGCTCTTTGTTTCAGAGAGAGATTTTTGTGGCTGAAAGTTCTTTGGATGCCATCATACTCACACTGAACAACTCAAAGTTGTTCAAAACATTGCTGTGAAAAAATTAAAGCTAAATGTAAAGTAAAAAGTAACTAACAGCAGTCCAGTAATGGACAGTAATAGAGAATGCTGCAGGTAGAATAGAAGTGGACATGTAACCTTACATGATAAAAACTACCTACAAATTTCTCTAGACACTTCTTTTTACATAAAAAGAAAGCTGAAAAGCAGAAATGGATTTTCATTAACAATTAATTCTGACAGAACCAATCTAGAGAAAGACTAGCACAAAAAATTCAGAAACAGTGATTTAAAGGCAGGCATACTTGCTGCTTTTATTTATTCCAGAAAACTAGGATGGAACAGAATTGTGCTGACTTTGGTACTGTACATATACAGTTTCCCTTCTTTTGGCTAAGCAGCACCACTGGAACTGAAAGCCTTGATATTCTCCTATCAAGTTACAGCAACTCCAGCAATTATTTTAATGTTTCTAAGCATGCCTAAAAATCCTCTTTTTCTAAATAATCACATATTTTCCCGGCAACACCAGTGCAAGACTGAAGGATTCTCATGAAGTATTACTTCATGAAGTATTACTTCATGAGACTTAAAAGTTCCAACAGGTATATACCTGTTTTTCCCTAGTGCTCAATCTGAAATTCATGATCTAATGGTTTGATGAAATGTACAAGCTCTGAAGAAATCAATTACACTTCCTCTCAACACCTATAAAATACATTTATCCATAAAGCTGTATTAGTCACAGCTGTCAATGAAAGCATTAGGGATAGCCATGTGACTGTGCTTGGTACCAATGTTAACTTCAAGATTTGAGGTCAAATCTACAGATGGACAAACATTTATTTTTTATTCTTTATTATTTTATTTTCTTTTTTAAGGTCCCATTTCTCAAAAAATTTCAGTGATCAATTAAAACCAGGATTTTCAAAGCTCTATGGGCTATATAATGCGTGATTTCAGGCAGAAACAGCATTTTGAAAGAAAAGGAATATAAAATACAAACACTACAAATGTAATAGTGAAATCATCAGTGCTGCACTGTAATTCTCTGATTGGTGTTTTATGTTTTGTAAGTTGCATATTAACTGTGCCAGTGAACATAATGGCAGTCTCAACATTACCACGCAGCGAATTCGTCCTTTGCAGAAAGCACTTACACACCCAAAAGACCATGCAAGTATTTTCAGTGAAAATCAACATTTGGTTCTCTGAGCAATGAGACCTTCAGAACACACATAAATTGACTACACAGACCAGTCAGCCAGAAACTTTGCAAGAAGGTACAGACAGAAGAGTATGAACCAATTCTGTCAATGTACTCTGCAATGAAAAATATAGAATTCTATAGAATATACTCTAGATTTACTCTATATTATTACTTTATATGTGCCTGAAATCTGAGTAAGAGGAAAGATCAATCTCTTGTACAGCAGCAATAGGATAAATCACTTTCTAATTTCCAAAGGATTATAAATGTAAAGATGCTTCCATTACTGTGCATCAAGCAAAATATCACTTCCTGCTATCTGTAATAAACTGGGCAAACAATTACACCCTCTGTTTTGCTTACAACACACTAGTTATACTGACTCTAATTATGGTTTGTTCCTTTCAGTTTTCTCATAAGATAAGTAAAACTACAAACAGAATCAAGCCTTTTCTCCAGCACCATCAGCAGGCAGAGAAGACTCACTAGTCTCTACACACAAGCTCTCAAAACAGAGAGAAGAAATTCCATCTCTGTTTAGTTAACCTTCATTCTTATTTTGATTTCAATTAATGAAAGAGAACTAACAGCTCCATGATTACAGTACTGACTGAAGTAAAAATTAGTCCTTCATGATGCTACAGCTTCTGAAATTTCCCTCTGTCTTCAGGGACAAGGGCTATGGACTCACAAAGGTCTTAGAGAAGCTGATGGCACATGTCACACTTGACGGAGAATACAAGCCAATGGACACGACCAGTATCACAAATCTCTTCACAACGCTATACATAAGCACCAGAGTATTTGAAGATTGCTCTGATCCACTTGCAACAGCCTTTAAGATGATGTCTGCTGTAGTTATATAGAGGTAGTTTGGATCCTCCTAACTCCAACATACCCACTTCCACAAAAAACTACAGTGAACAGATACTCATACTTCATTAAGTTTCACTGAGTTTTCCCCTCTGGATAGGAGACAAAAGGAGCAAAGCTTTTCTTTGCTCCTTTTCTGCCCCTCCCCAGTAAAATATTTCATCCAAGATGAAGCAAGGAAGTAACCTGAATAAAACAAATAAATAGTCATTGTAGTAACAATAACTTTAGTTGAACAAAACAATCTATTTCAAAACAATTTGCTATCCATCATAAACTGATAAGCAAATCTGATAGGTACATTTCAAAAAGACAATAGAAGATCTAGCTGAAATATTTTAAATAGACATGCTAGCTAATTAACATGATTAATAAATTGCAGTAATAGTGAGAGAATTTTTCAGCTCAATATGGCATTTCATGTTCATTCTCACTTGTTAGTTCTACTAATGTAAAACAAGAAAATGAGTCTGTCTACAATAAAATTAAAGGCCTTTTGTAGATAATGACATAATTTTTTAATAATAGTTTAAAACTGTTTCTTCAATCCTGCAACAACTTTAAACTAGGATCCAGAAGACCCACTTCTTTCTGATCTTAGAAATCCTCATGAAGCAGGAAGGAGGGAGGGAGGGAAGGAGAAGGTGTCTAAATATTTTAAGAAGCTTCCGACCAAAGCATCAAGTCTATACTTACTCTCACCTTCTCAAAAAGTAATCCTTCACAAGCTCAGCAAGAAAAATGCAGAGTAACTGATTTACTAACACTAGACAGACATATTGAAACAAACTACAAGTTAAATTTTCTTACATTGTAGATACAAGACATAAGTTAATTTCCTGAAGGCTGTTGAACTCTCTCACAATTCTGATCCTATCTTCTGATTTTGTATTTCCATCAAGTCTTCGGTAATCTAGCCCAGATGCCATGCAGTACTGTTCTAGCACATCAAGCAACTGAGTGGAAAAATGAAGAAAAAAGGAAAATAAAAAGTTACGTACTTAAAAGTATCTTTTAAATTAAACATGATCACAGGGACCATGTTTATAAAATATATTTTTAGTACACCACCCATTGCTAATTACAGTAAATATCTGACACTTTGGTATCAACATTCCTGATTCTCTTTAGCTGTGATTCTACAGCACTCAAGGTGATTAATATTGGTGTGCTGTGGTCTGACTTCATCATCCCACCCTGGCTGCCTGTTTCATCCTGTCACTCAATCCAACCCAGTCAGCAGGCAGTCCATTTAAGCAGCTTTCTCCCATCTTAGCAAGCTGAAATTACTTGAAATACAGTAAATGAGCATTACAGAGGCACAGAGTGCACAGTCAGAGTTCAGGGGTATGGGGTGAAAGACACTGCAGTAACCAGCAGTCAGTCTGGTACTGGACACCATAACACATAACCTAAGAGATACATGAGTACTCTACAGCTGCATCTAAACATCAAACTTGCATTCTTTCTTAAAGTCAAAAAAAAGAAAAAGAGGTATTTAAGACTCCTGAACTACCATTCAAATTACTATGCTTTAAAATACTTTTTAGTGCTATCATTACAAATATTTAAATAAAAGTCCCAATACAGCAGAGTGAGCTATTTCAGGAAACACATTACTCCCTAATAAGGAAACCAAGGAGCAAGTACCTTAAAAATAAAATGTACATATAAGTCTTGCTCCAATTAGAGAGTTTTAACTTCAAATCAACTAGTGCAGCAAGAATTTGAGTTTCAATGCTGATGATGAAAAGTCAGCAGAATGAGGAAACTTAACTTTCAGTGCTAACACAAAGGTTTTATGATATGGCAGTCATACTGAGCTATGACAGTGCTCTAATTCAAGACATACCAGCTGAACTTAGCTATCTGCACCTGAAGTAATACAACTATTTCAAAAACATCTAGGGACAGCAGAAGATTGCTACACCTGTTTTGCTATCACCATTTTTATAATGAGGTAACAAGGTTTCAATATGCTTGTGGAGTATGGCACACTGACCTTGTAATTACTCCTAACAGTAGAAGCAATAAGGAAATGTGGTTGACAAGTTGTCAACTTTCAGATTCACACTTCAGAACTTACTGCTGCAGTTAATTGATAAAAATCACATGGAGCTCACCTTTGTGGAAAAGGAGAAAAGAAGAACTTTATCCTTATTTTTTCGGAAGTGATTTAAAAGCTGCTGAAGGACCTGTAAATGAAGCACAGCAGAAAAATGAAGACATTTTTACCTAAAATCTAAATTTTTATCAGGTCATCTTACACACACTTAACTCATGTTTTCAACCTCCAAACAGGCTACACTGAACTTAATTACTTGCAAAGCCAAGCAGAGCCATCACAAAAATCATTACTAACATAATAAATGGGCCAAAGGTAATGGAGATGCTGGAACTTGGCATTTTTCAATGATGTACATGGAAATCCTACTGTGAAAAGGTCATCAGACCACTAAGAGGTAGATTCAGAAGCTACCTGTGTCAGTGCATAGACTGCAACAAAAAGTTACTTAAGTCACACACTAGCTATGATTCGGAGTTTTTTCATTTAAAAAATGCACACATTTATCCTGAAAACTCCAAGGTCTGCTTAAACTTTCTGTCCTACATCTGAGTTCAGAGCTTCTTGGAACTTGTCTTCTTAAAATAATCAGTGAGATGTATGCCCCTCCCCGCTCCCACTCTCATCTGTTGCTCTGTTTACAGTAGGATCCAGCTTCCCAGACTCTGTGCAGACCTTGAAATGCCAATAATCCGCCCACACACAACGTTCTTCTGGTGGGGAAGCAAATAATCCAGAGCCTTGTGTATAATAGTGATACTGTTATTTTCAAAAGAACCATGTCCACATCTGGCAATGGCAGCTCCAGAGCACTGTGGTGAAGCCATACACAATGGGAAAAGAGGAATTTTCTGTACCATGACTGTAGCTTTTTTCCACTGGACAATAAATATTTTTGAAATTGTATTTATTCACTGATAAATAGATAAACTGTTAATCAAGAATTATTTCACTACAAGCTTAGGAAATCTTTGACCATCAAATAATGATTAATGTTTGTATTAATGTTACAATTTTGGACAATATCTACAATATAAAATGGTAATAATATGTCACTTCTGAGCTCCTTAGTAAATGTTAGCCAGCTTGTTACAAGTGAAAACAGGGTACAAATGACAGATTTTTTGGCCTCATTTCATTGTACATGAACATATAAACTAGGATTTATTTTACTGGGGAAAAAAATACACAGCAGGCCATTTAGCAGAGCTATACTACTCAAATTTGCATTTTATTTGGCCACATTAAGAAAAGAAACAGAAGTGACATTCTTTTAAACTAGAAGGAATTGGCTTCTGTGTTGTTATTATTAAAGTACAGGTCAAATAGTGAATTTCCTATAGGAAAATACAAAAATAAATCCACACAATTCACTTAAATGAAATGGATCAATTTCATCCCATTGGGAATTTAGGTATTCTGGAGTAAGAAACAACTCTAACAGCAAAAAGTAATGAATGTTTTTGCACCAAAGAGAAGTAAATTCTACACTTGCTCACCAGAATATTATCCTTTATGTTTTTAGCCCAAAACAGAAACACTCGATCATACTCAAGCAGAAGTCACATGTTCTTTGTAAGAGTCCCCATGGATTTAAACATACATCTCCCCATTGCTACACATTGTGAGTCATCTGTATGTGATGAAATTTTACCTCTTGCTTTTGAGAACTTTTTTTATGGAGATGTTCAAGCTAGCCTACAGTATTTTTTAAGCCTTCAAAGCCAGCCCTGCCTGGATCCGAGTTATGTTTAATGGTAGAGGTTACCATTTCTTGCAAAGTACTCCAATAGACTTCCAATTTCCTACTGAATGATAATATCCCAAGCAAAAATAATTAAATCAATACAACAGTTATTCCTAAGATATTTGTATTAAGAACAGTATTCTGAAACCCCACAAATAGGTCTCTGGAAATGTATGCAGTTAAAAAAATAAAACTTAAAAAAAATATTTCAACTGCCCAGACATTTAATAACCCTTTACATCTAGAAAGCTCATAGTGTGTCTCTGACACAATTTTAACAAAACTGTAGAAATAATCAGACAAGGTAGTCTGAATGAGAATTACTGCAGAATTGTAAATCTATCCTCACTCATCTTCTTCCAACCAGTCCCCAATACTTCCGTGTGGAAATCCGAAATCATTGCATTTCAAAAGCAATGAACCACTTGTCCTTAAACTTTGCAGGTCCCCACTATTTTACAACATCATGATAGAAAAAGAGTGGTTTCCAAACAAAGCAGAACACTCCTTTCACTCAGTTCTCATATACTCAACTACTTCTATTTAAGAAGTTCTCATACTTCTATTTAAGTATATTGTCATATACTCAACTACTTCTATTTAAAATCTAAGCATGACATTTACCATGTAATAAAACACGTCAGCAAAGCTTGCAAACTGTACAATCTGCAGTACAAGTGAAAAGGAGGGGATAATTTCACAAAAAAAAGCTGAAGCTTTTAATCACTGCATATTACCCACCTCCCACTGTAACACAGATACATTAGTGTCCTTGTTATACTGGATTGGGTACACCATCAATGATTATACATGTTGTACATTTGGACTGTAGGAATTGTTTTTTTCAGGCTCTTGTTGTAATTCAAAATTCAGAACAGAAAACCTGGGGTGGCATGTTAATGTTACAGTTTGCAAAACACAGAGAGATGACTCACAACAACAGGTAGGACACAAACACTACATACAGGCCACTCTTTACCCATTGCATACAAGCAGATCTAATTTTACTGGTGGAAGTAATTCATATCCCAAAACAGAATGTTTCGCTATGTGTTTTATCTCTGTTTGGCTGGAGAACAAATAGGCTGAGTAATGGAACCTTTTCAACTCTGCAAAACAGTTACAGCTGCTTAGCTATTAAACTTCCTGAAAAAAAAAAATCACAGCCTTTCCCCCTTCCCTGAATAAATTTTTTAAAAATGCCACAAACAATTCCTTTGCAACTACGCTTATCTACAAAAGAATAATTACCTGTACCTAAACTTCTGTGTAGTCTGTAGTGAATTTTAAGTTAAAAGATAAAGTAATGCTTATTCAGTCTACACTACCAGATGAAAGTTACAAAAGAATGTCACTTAGTTTCTAGAATTTATTTATTAAACAAATTATGAATTTATTTATTTAGGAAGTGCAAACTACTACAGTGCAACAAGGTTACTAAAAACATTTTACTATCATTTGTCTCAGTTATTTCCAAATAAACACGTTAAAAATTTATAAAGCCATTTCCAAGCTTTAATACTAGTTGACTCCTCTGTGATTATTTTCTTATGTTACAACAACTTTCTAAATTACATACTTCCTGAATGATTTTGCTTTCATAGTATAAAATGCAAAATCATCACAAATAGCTTCCATTCTATAATTTAGGAAAAAAAAAAAAAAAGCCACCACACCAAAAAGGTATGAACCAGTTTTTGGCACCATGAAGTTAAAATTAATGGACCCAAAAGCCAGCTTATTTTCAATAATAGCTATATAACCCATTATCTTCTTTCCAGCCACTAAGATTATCAAATCATACGACAGTTTGGGTTAAAGATAATTTTGTTTCAAACCATGCCACCATGGGTAGGGATGCCACCTACTAGATTCAAAGTTCCATCCTAACTGGCCTCGAACACTTCCAGGGACAGGGCATACACAGCTTCTACAGGCAACCTGCTCCAGTGCCTCACTACTCTCACAGTGAAGACTTTCATCCTATTATCCAATCTAAACTTACTCTCTTTCATTTTGAAGCCATTATCCCTTTTCCTATCACTGTAAAAAGTCCCCCTCCAGATTTCTTTAGATTTCCTTCATCAGTGAAAGGCAGCAATAAGATTCCTCAAGAGCCTTCTCCAGATTCAGCAACCTCAATTCCCTCAGCCCTTCCTCAGAGAAGAAGTGTTCCACCCATGTAATAATCTTCATGGCCCCTCTGGACTTGTTCCAAAATATATTTTTTGTGCTGAGAAAGCTGGATACAGTACACTGCATGAGTGGAGCAGAAGAGGAAAATCACCTCCCTTGCCCAGCTGGCCACACCTCCTTTGATGCATTCCAGGACACCTTTGGCTTTCTGGGCTATACAGAATAATCCCTTGGCCACACTTGCACCACTTCAGGCAGCTACTGGACAAAATTAACTCTGGCCAGAATCAGGACCACATCTTACCAAAACATCATTTCAGGTAGTTGTACAGAGTAATGAGGAGGCTCAAGGGAGACCTTTTTTGCAGGCTAAACAAATCCCAGCTCTCTCAGCTGCTCGTCATAAACCTGACACTCCAAACCCTTCACCAGCTCCTTCACCCTTCTCTGAACATGCTCCAGCAGCATTTCAGTGTCCTTCTTGCCAGAGGGGCCCAGAACTGGATACAGCACTCAAGGTGTGGCCTCACTAATGCCAAGCACAGGGGAAGAATCACTTCCCTGATCCTGCTGGACACAAAATTTGATACAAGCCAAGATGCCACTGGTCTTCCTGGCTGTCTGGGCAAACTGCTGTCTCATGTCCAGCCACTGCTGACCAGCACCTCCATGTCCTTTCTCACCTGGCAGATTTCCAGCCACTCTGCCCCAGCCTATAGTACTGCAGGGTGTTGTTGTGGCCAAATGCAGGACCTGGCACTGGGTCTTGCTGAACCTCATACCATGGTCTCAGCCCACTGATCCCTCTGCAGGGCCTTCTTAACCTCCAGCAGACCAACAATCCCACCCATCTTAAGTTTACAAACCTACTGAGAATGCACTTGATCCCCTCATCCAGATCAGCAGTAAAGATGTTGAACAGGACTGGCCTCAAAACTGAACCCTGGGAGACACCACTGGATGCCAACTGGATGTGGCACCACCCATCACCACTCTCTTGGTTCACTACCCAGCCAGTTTTTAATCTGGCAAAGGGAAGCCATGGCTGCCAGCTTTTCCAGGAGAATGCAATGGAAAAAAAATTGAATATAATAAAATAATAACAAAAATGTAAAATAGGAATGTGAATGTCATGGTAAAATAATCAGTAACAGAACTGCTTCATAAGCAATTCTTCAACTCCTGAAGATGACGGATTTGGTTTTTAAAGCTATGTATTAATTTAACAGCTAAATTCACCTTCTCAAAATAATCCAGTGTATACAACAAAGTTAATATGCAGGCATTTCATACATATGTATTATTAACAATAAAGAAAGATGCTGCTTACACAGTAACAAATCAGTAAAGTGATAACAGCCATTCCTGCTACAGCAACATAATCTTCCCACTGCCACCAGTCCCAAGAAGAAAATGTTAATATCCAGGTTTATAGAGAGCCAAAATTCTGCATAGCTTCTAATCCTCCCAGTCACTCTCAGCTCCAGAGTACTACTAAAACTAGTATGGTTTTATTTTTAATTAGTTATAGTAGACATTTTTTTCATCTACATTAAGCAACATCCTAATAATCTACACTGTATGTCATCACGTCATCTTTTGCTCCTTTCTGAAACCAGAGAAAGACAGTTTCTGACATGAGGGGTTTCACAGATTCATACTAAACACATTTATTTTGGTCATCTTCAGCACAACTACTAATATTTTAATTTAATGTCCAAAGGGTTCAATAAATCAGTAAGCACTCGGTACATTTTCACCAGTTCCATGCTATTCCATGATTGTGTAGGTCCCACTCACATTTACCCTAAGACATTCTTTATAGTCTGGAGGGTCCCAGCCTACTTGGCTGCTTCTGACACAGTTACTAATGACGCTTGTGGCCCTTCTCTGAACTGTCCTCTGAACCTTTTCAAAGTCTAACATCTGCTTTTTGAGAGGAGAGATTGGAACTTCACACAAAATTGAAGCTGTGCACAAATCATTAAGCCCATAATGATTTTGTTTTGCTTCCTTTTCTTTGCCAAGTATTTCTGACTGTCACCAGAATCCATGGTTCCATGCAACAATAAATCTGTTGACTACAAGGGTTATTTCCATGCCCACCATCAAACATGTGAAGCTTAAGTTTTAGAAAATTTTAGCATCACAAATTATTCTTATCCAGTCTTTGCCCAGATAAATACTGATCCATGACAGGAGATTCCTGATGAACAATAAACATTAAACCCCCCAATAAACAATAAACCCCCAAAACTATTAGGGGTATATTTTCTTATATCCATATAATACAGGCCAAATCTATTACTATTAATAAAATTTATTTTTCTTCTAAGGAAGGGGGTTACCTTCATTTTTCCACTATATTTTGGATCTGAAATAGTTTCAAAGGCTGCATCTTTGCTTAACTGCACAAAATCTGGAAAACTGGAAAATACCTGGCTGCAAACTCGTTTGATATGCGCTTCCTGGAAGAAAAGCAGAAAGATTGAACAGGTGTTAAAAATCGGAGCTTTGTTAAGCCATGCAAAGAGTTAAACAGGTTGAAACATGATCTGCCAAAGTATCTCAAGCAGAGTGATGTAGTTTTTAATTTAGTTCACTAAAAAACTGCTGGATGAAACATATCCTGTGTGTTTTGCATAGTTTCATTAAAAAAAAAAAAAGAGATTCCTAATCTGAAATTATGGATTGTATTCAGAATGTCTTCTCCTAGCCAGAACTGTCAGTTTCAAAAAATCCTCTTGCCTTGACATTTGCAGTACCTAAGGGTTCTGCACCAACATTTCCCTTGACTCTTTCAGGCAAGCCAGTATGGGAATTACATATTGTTCCACAACAAAAACTGTACAGGAAATGGACTTAAAGTGTTCTAAAGCCACGTAAAGCTCCATTGCTAAATTTAGCACTGAACTTAAGCACAATCTCACACTTTAAAAAAAAAAAGTGAACTTTAAGTTCACTTTTACAGAAAGAAAAAGATCGCATCTCTCACCTAAGAATAACACACATAAGGGCCTTCAACACTCAAGGTAAGAAAAACTACTAAGTGTTAGTTTCTTAGTAGATGTTGGTAAAATTAATAATTATGCATGATGCAGAAGACTGTAAGTCACAAAATACCTGCATTCCATTATTTCAGAGGTTATTTAAATACCAGCTGTTATTACAACAAAAACTACATATGCAATACACAAAAAAACCCACTAAAAACATCTGGCTATATGCTGTGTGTAGTGTGCTGGACACTAAAAGTAACATTTATAAAAAGGCAAAACTGCTTTAATGGAACAAACTCGCAAATTAACTAGGACATTCCAATATATCTTCCTTGATAGATTCTAAGAAAAAGTTGTAATGTCCCTAAATCCATTTCCTCACTCCTAGATCTTAAGGGTCACAAACAAGCATTTCTGAAACTGCCATTTGTGGGTCTGGTTGCTTGCCATAGTAACAAGATAAGCTGATACTGATCTTTCATTGAGCAATTTTTTCTAAAACATGTTTCTCATTATTTAAACAAACTCAGCTCTTGACATAAAATGCTAGAGAAGAAACCCATTCTAATTATCTATTATTTGTTTAGTTGCACAAAGACATTCCTCTTATAGGTACTCTTCATAAATGTAACAAAAATTTGTTTTTGTTACATTTATGAAGCCCTATTAGAAATCATGAAAAGTTACTCTCTCTCCTAACTTCTTCAATGTTTTATAACCCTTACTTTCAAAGATGAATCAACTAAATGAACATGTTGTTTTGTATAACATCTTTATAAGGTATGCATTCTGTATGACTGAATGGAAAAGGACTCTTACAAAATATCTTAATTGCAGTTAGTTAAGGAGGCCAGCAGCAATTTTCATTCAAGAGTTTTCATCCCATTTATCTTCCAAAAGACCATTTTTTAGATACTTTTGAAACTAACCTGCAGTTTGCTAGTGTTGTCTGTCTGCAGCAGTGCAGCATGATTTGCAACCTTCTGTAGGATCATTAGGTAACTGAAGCGCAATGACTTAATTGTTTCACCATGTGCATTTACCTACAAAAAAAAACCAGTTTATGCAACCAAATACTACTGAAAATAAGTAATAATCTCAAATAAATGCTATTCTTACCAGGCTTAATGCATTAACAATACTATAACTGATCCCCAAGAGATGAATACTGATGTATTCTGATAAAAATGAACCAAGTTCTGTTTTTTCTTCAGCTTTGTCACCCTATTAATAGAAACATCTTCTCAATAAGAAAAAAACCCTACAGCTACGTTCATTGCTTGCCAAGCATTTCAGATAGTAACTTCTACAGACATCCCATGGAGATAACCAAGAATTCTTCAGTATACAAGAAGATGGTAACTTCATAACTAATTAAATCAAGCAAGACCAGTTTGAATGACTTCTTACCTTTCAACTGCTAACTTTACTTTTCTCTCCAGCAAAAGCTTTACAAGCATCTCAAATAACAAAATTCAAGCTTCAGACATTCTACAGTGCAACAGCAACTGTGCAACAGCATCAGCTATCTTCCTAGTTATGGCTGGCTGGCTTGATCAGTATTTGTTTTCCTTTGTCTTCTCAAGTTACTAAATTTGACTGTTAACTTTGGAATAAAACAGTCCATAAGAGCACTCAACTATCTGCAGGCCTGCCTACTGCCTTTTTGTGAATCAAGTCCACAAGCATTTCTTTTTTTCTACAAAACATCACTAGAAACAAAAGCCTGCAAAGAGGGCTAGTATCCATGGAATATTAAACAAAACTGATAAGGGGATTGCTTATAAATAAAGATGTAGAGGACTGAAGAAGCTACATCATTTGGAAAAAACTCAAAACACTACACAAGAATCAGAGCAGGCCAGAGAGATAAAAGGGAGAAACAAGCATGTGACATATGCTTCTAAATGTTTAAAAGATGTGCTTAATCTGAGCCTACTGAGTAAGGTAAGCAAAACAAATACAAAGCTAGACTGATCAAGGTTTAAAGAAGTCCAGAGAAGATTAAAGAAATCTGTAAAGCTGTTACTCATGGACGAAGTTTGACTAGTGCTCTGCGGCTGCTGTTACAGTTCTCCCCTCATGAAGCAAGGGAAAGTGAATGTTTAATGGCACAGAAAGGCACGACTGCAGTTAGAACACAAGGAACTACCCAGGCAGCCTGCTGAGTTCAGCATGCCCTCCCATTCGCAGGTCCTGCACAAACTGTCTGAGGCACCTGGAAGCAGCATGCCTGACACATACTGAACATCTCAATGCAGTGCCCTTGCCAGTATCAACTAAATCATAGGTGCATCTATTAATACAAAAGATCCAGAATTTACTGCATAGGGAACAATCACCTGCTCAGGGCATGCAAAGCAGCTTTGCAGTAACCTCAAAAGTGCTTAACTCTATCATGCTGGTGATGCAGCTCCCCATGTTTCCAGCTGGGATGTCCCAAACAGATGAGCTACAACTAGGCAATTATTTCAATCAGCTCTTCATCAGCAGAGAGTCTCCTGAGAAATTCAGAAGACTATGCTCTAAAATCCAAACAGTGCCAAGTTCTTACTTTGTAACAACAGTTCTTCCTCTTACGGCCACTGTTGCAGCTACAGGGCTCTCCTGCTCTTAACACCAAGGTTACATCATCTGTCTCTAGCACAGCCTGGTACACAGCCCTCTGGAATTCAGTGAGGGAACAAAACACCATCTGCCAAAGAGAAAACACAAGAAACACTATCATATGCATCATACAATGAAAGGCAAAAAAACACTGCATCAAAAAAACCAAATCACAGATCACTGAAAATAAAGTAGAAATAAATTTTACACTTGCTCAAATAGTTACGCAGGAAATTATTCTACCACCAAATTAAAAAAAAGTGGATCTTGACACCAAAATAGCATGAAACTGTAGCAAAAATGTATGCATACTTATTCTATTCCACCCCAAAATTCTACAAAGAATATCAATACCATTCTACAAGTACCTGCTATTATTTTGCTCAAAACCTTAAAACATGGCTTTTGTGAAGGAATAGGATGAGGAAGAAAAAGTGAGAGAAGTAAATGCATAATGTTAATTACAGATTTCTCTCTGTTTTGCAAGGTGTTTAATTTGCCCTCTCTTTCCCCTTTTTAGGCATTAGCTGTTTTAGGGCACTACCGAAAGCCACAAGCGGGACAAACAGAATAAACAATGAGAAGGGAAGGATCTACAAAGTGCTATGGTGAAAACTCTGATCCCTCTTCTGAAAGACCATGGGTGGCATCTCCATGACATCTTTAGTCTTAAGCAGCAGGAGACAGAAATCCCAAGATCATTCCTTAACCTATGCTATCCACATAGCAGCAGCACCATGCTGAGCTACAATAATACAGCAGTAACTTGAACATATACTCACATTAACAAGATAATGAAAAGAATAAAACCTGCTAGATTCAGAAAGGAGACTGACTGATGTTTGTGTTAATCTTTCCTTCAGAAGACTGCCTAGATGACATTATTATAAACTAAGGATGAAGAAAAACCACCAAATTTTGAAAATAAAACCAGATGCAAACTTACATATTTGTCAACTCAGAAAATATTTAGCAGAACTCTTATCTATATCAATAAAGTATTATAATTTCATGTAATATTTACAACTGCATCAGATGAACAGGATTACAGGCCTATCACAGAATCATTTTGTCTGAGATTTTTCTTTTATTTCAGGATCGAAAAAGAAGGAGTTAAAAGCATACTGTTCCATACACAAAGTTTCAAGATGCAAATTCAGAAGTTCTGCATAGAATTTCAAGACATACATTTACAAACATTGCTTTGGGCTTGCAGAGATAAGGACAAAAACATACATAAAACAGATGTGTAAATCACTAGTCAGAAGACTGGCTGAGCATTTTCATGCTTGATTAATTCCATTTCAATGTGCAATCATAGTAATTATGTGAACAAAGCACACTACTTCAAGTGCACTTTTTCCAAGGCTATGGATTCTTCTCAAGTTAAAAAGATGAAGAGAGAACCATAAACTACAGACATGAGGCAAGAGAGAAAATACAACAAGAAAACAAAAAAAGAAGAGATACATTCATTAGCATTGTATTTGAAATGTGAAGGCACTCTTACTCTGTCTTCCTTTTTTGGCAACTGATCACTGATAAGCGCTTTGGTACGTCTCAGAAACCAGCCAGACATTATTCTTGCTAGATTCAACATGGCCTTACGACCGGTTGCTAGCTCTCTTTTAGTTGCAGTGTGCCTCTGGCCATGCTCCACTGGATCAGAAAATTTCTTCTTGAAATGCACTCTGCTACCTAAAAGTCCTGGTACAGCCCTATTAAAAAACAAAAGTGGATGGGGGATTGATTCACTGATTTAAAGCATACCATAAACTTTTTTTTTTCTGACTAACAGCAAGCTATCTTAAAGTAGCAGTCACTAGAGAAACCACTAAAAATTTTAAGTACAAATAGAAACATATACTATTTTAAGACATGCCATTTTTCCTTTTCTGTGACTCTCAAATGCTAAGACATACCCCTCAGGAAGAAGGTTCCAATCTCAAGAAAAGAAAAAGTTTAACAGAACAACAGAAATCACAATTATATAGAAGCTCTAAACTACAAGGCTGCTAGTGTTGAGGAGCCTAAACTGGAAGCTAAACAGTCATGTTTTCAATTTTTGCTGGTTTTATGAAATCAGAATATGCAGATATTACAATTAACTAAATAAAATCTTGAGAAACCCAATGGTAGAAAGAATTCAGTAACTGTTGGCAGCATTACACATTGGAACAATTTACTAACAATATCAGCATAATTTAAATGAACCAGATGCAAGACTAAGTTTAGAATATTCTTCCTGCTATTTCTGTTCTGCATATCCTTATATTTAAAGTATATTTGCTTTGTTTTTCCTCTGCAAAGCATTCCCAGAAGATTTAAATTTGCATCTATCATGAGATGCACCTCTCCTTGACCATTAGAAGTTTTTCCGGACAGGACTGTTACTTTTCAAATATGTGTACTTGTGCATTTTGGAAAAAAAAAAGCAAAATATTATTATTTTCATCCTCCAAGTAGGTCAGAATGACCTGCACATACTGGACAGAGCAAAGGTACTATGTTGGTCAAGGTTGTGCAATGATTTCCTATCTACTGGGTGAAGGACAGAAGAAAAAAAGAGTGTCCCTAGGGAAAAAAAAAAAAAAAGGAAGAAATAAAAAAGGGTAATATGGGAGGTGGAGGAAGAATAATTCTAACTACTTCCCAAATTCTCCAAAGAAGCCAGCTGGGATGAACTCCAAATGTATTAAGCAACTGTAAAATACTGGGAGCTTACCTCCCCAGTAAGTTATATTCTCAAAAAAAAGCAGGTGTTTTGAAGTTGAGGGTTGTGCTTTGTTGTTGTTTTTTTATAACACAGATGGGTCCATACCATCCAGTCCTGCCCCAACCCCTCTGCACAGCCAACACACAGAGATGTTTAAACATAAAAGAAAATATTTACCAGTCCATAACACACCAAAGTTCCTTCATATTGTTTTGAAGAATGGTTCCAGTAAGACCTATGCGAACACGGCATTTTAATGACTTCATGGTTTGAGTTATTTGAGCCTTTGGATTCTTGATTCTATGTGCTTCGTCCACTATCACAGCAGACCAGTCTATACTGCAGATCAAAAAAAGATTTCATTAATTGACACTACTTGTCCCATCATCCCACATACATACAAAAAGTGAAGCCAGCCACACAGACAGCTATGATTATAACACATTATTACTTTTTGATTTCCCTGTTTTGCTATATCACTCCATTTCCTTATATTGTTTGTTTAGTAAATGCAATTAACATAGTTGAACATAATGGCTAAACTACATCATCAAATAAATAACCTCCTGTTTCTTGTATCAAATGCTTTCTGTGAACAAAGAAGTTTTCAATCTGTGGACCAATGAATCCAGCATATCTCACTAAAATTAACTCCACTCATAATTAAGATTTACAAAAAATAAATAAGTCTCTGGAGGTAAACTACTGAAATATACTTAACATAGGTATACTTCATTTTACCAACAAAAATTATCCAAGGCAAATACCAGTGAACTGAAAACATTTCAATCTGCATGGTTTCCTACAGTAAAGTATCACTCAAGAAAAAATATAAAATACCAGTATAGCAGAGGAATTTTAATATTTTGGGATTGTGATGACAATGAACATAGCTATAAGCAGTGACCAAAAGATATTTTGCAGCCAATTAAGAATAAAACTTAGGGGTAGAATGACCTGTATACTGAGATAATAATAAAGAAAGACTTCAAGTCCCTAGGAAGAGATTTACTAACTTTATGAATTAAATTTATATATATGAATATTTCAGAACACAACCATATCCAGACTGATATGCTGCAAAAAGTTGAAACAGACATGTTTAGAGATGTTTAGTAGAAAACATCTCCTGAGCAAGCTGCATTTAGTTCACCAATGAAGGCTGATCTTGTGGCATTTTTCCTAATCACTAAATACATTCATTCATGTTTAAGTTCCTACATTCCCAAAATATGCTAAAAATTGGAGTTTCTGAAAAGTCTAACGGATGTTCATATCCTAGCTCCTTACACTTAAATCTCTCATACTGATTTACATGCATAACTGAACATATATATCCTTATTCCTGACAGCTAATTACTTAGGAGCAGCTTTTGAGGCCAATCCATCACTGTATTGAAGCAAGACACAAAGCTTCTCCTGGTGTCGAGATCACAGGCCCATCCAGTCACATCCTGTGCGGAAACAGTTTGATAACCTGCGTGTTGAAGAAATGTATTTGCAGGCAGTCACACATTAGATCTCCTCCACACATGCACCTATTTTCTGACCACAGTCTATTCCATGATCAGGCATGAAGAGTTTCATGCTTCAGAAAGAACACAAATAGTTGATAACAAAACTACTTTATTCTTCTATATGTACTTCTCTATTCTCTGTACCTCAGACCTGAGGACAGAAATGAAGATCTGATTGTTTTGACGATGGATCTCCAGACAACTAAGGTACTCTCTGGGGCCTGGACCTTTCCCAACACCTGAAATGCCAAGACCTGCAGATCCACTTATATCAGCTGCTGAGGGCAAGCTGCTACCACCAGCCACTTATACCCTACTTTCAAGATGACATAGGAGAAAAGGACCTTTAGGATTGCATAAGAAATGTGTGGGTTTAAATCTCAAAGCTTTTAGGGTTCAATAATCTCATCAAGCTGGTGAAAAGAGCAAATAACAAGGAAAATACCTTTTTGAGCATTTGCTAAAAATTCCAGGTGATTGCTCTCCTTATACTGCCAGACAGAAATACTTTCTAAGTATCTTTTAGCAGTCATCAGGTTCCAGGCAGGCAATTCCTGCATCTTTCAGAAAACATTTGGTAACTGTGTTACCAGCAAAGACTGGGTTCATTCACACACTTACTGCTACCAAGTGTCCTATTACAAAGACAGTTGTATTGAGTCTGTCTGAGATGTAGTTAATTTTCCCACAGCAGCTCTCACTGGTCTGTGGGTAGCTGGAAAGGTGTTGTTAACACACCAGTGCTTTGGCTACTGCTGAGCAGCGCTGGCAGAGCATCAGCGCTGTCTCTCAACATTCCCCCCACATCAGCAGACTGGGAATGGGTAAGATCCTGGGAGGGGACAAAACTTGGCCAGCTGACCCAAACTGACCAAAGGGATAACTCATCCCATATGGTATCAGCTCAGATACAAAAGCTAAGGAAAGGAGGAGGAATGGGGCATTTGTTATTTATGATGTTTGCTTTTTAGAGCAACTGCTACGTGTGCAGAAGCACCATTTCCCAGGAAGTGGCTCAACACTGCTAGCTTATGGGAAACAGAAACAAACCTTTTCTTCCCCCTCTTTGTTTGTGCGTGCCTAAACTTTGGCTTTAGTAAACTGCCTTATCTCAACTGAAGAGCTGGTTTTTATCTTAATTTCTCTTCCCTGTGCAGCTGGGAAGAGACTGATAGAGTGGCTTGGTGAACACCTGGTGTCCAGTCAAGGTCAACCCACCAGAACTCTACAGGTTAAATTCAGAAGTACAGGATAAATTCAGTAGTACAGGGATTCTTCTCTGCCGCACAGTGAGTCAATGGATTTAACAGCAAATATATTGTACAGAAAAAAGTCCTTGAAAAGAACAATGCACAATTAGACGGTTAAAATTCAGTGTGTACAAAAACATATTAAAACTATTACCTGTTAAATTCATCCAAATATAGGCGAAGTATCTCATATGTTGTAAGAGCAACTTCAAATTTCCCTTGCTTGATGCGACTCAAGTCATCATCTTTTTTACTGCCATGTAAGACAGAGACTTTAAAGTATCCCCATGTGTCTAACTCATCCTTCCAGTTGTACAGCACTGAAAGAGGGGCCACTATGAGGAAAGTCTGAAAACAAATATATATTACAGTATGTCACTAGAAAAACTACAACATAGCAAATTCTCAACAACAGAAGTCAAGATCTTGACTATTTTACTGCTCTGAGCAGTCTGACTGTTTAATTCTGCCATTTCAAAGGATGTATGGAAAATATCTAAAGTTAATATAAATTCAAAAGTAATCCATTTACACTGAGTAAGTACACAATACATTATAAAAATACTGTCATACTAAAATTAAATTAATTAACAGATAGTCCTGAAAAGAGTTAAAAAAATTAGGACAGCTCATACAATTCACTTAGTATCACAGGATAATAAAATCAAAGAGGTAGGAAGTGACCTTGGGCAACTTCCCACTGTGGAAGTTGGCAACACTGACTTCAAACCCAGGCTTAGCCAACTGAGGTCTTCAAAACCCCATAAGGATGGATGGGGTCTACAACCTCTCTGTGACCTCTTTCAACATTAAATGTCCTCAAAGTGACATTCTTTCCTCACATACAGTCAAGAGGCAGAATCATTCCTATTCCTTTGCACATGAAGTACTATCCCTTTACCCCTTCCTCTCACCCTGTATTTCCTGAGGAGCATGTATCCATGATTCACAGAGCTACATTCATATGACCCATTATGCCAGTCAAATTCTCTAACTATTGCAGCAAAATAAAAATAACAATGGAAAATAGAAATCACATGGTTTCAGTAATGGGTAAAATTAAAATGATCTTCAGACGTATCTTATTCACATAGAACTTTTACATGTATCTTTTATTTGCTGTCACTGTATTTCACTACCTAGATTATCGGCCAGACTTACTTCCAACATTATGACAGCCAATCAAGAAAACACAGGACATCACAATGCTATTAGCAATACACTTTCCAAAAATATGGATTTGTCTTAATTAAGTACCTCGTTATTTAGATACACATGCTTTTTTTACTTTAAAACTATCATCACTAATTTTCTACTCACTGGGTTTTTCAATGTACTCTAGCCACAAATCTAACCCAGACACCTCCAAATGTTTTCCATTCGTGCAGGTGAACAGTAGTAATAGATTAACCAAAAAAACAAACAAACAACCAAACAAATCCAAGTATTGCCTTTTATCAAAATCCTTAAGCTAGTATCTCTAAAAGTTGTACCTTCTTGGGATTACAATCTGAGCCCTTTTTCATTGTCCGCAGTAAAAACTCCGGCATATTATTTTCAATATCCTCACGTGTTCCCTTTTTGTGCAATACTGCAGCCAAAAATGAAATGACCTTGAGAAAGAAAACAATTCTCAGTAACTATTTATAACAAGAAATTGAATGAATTCCACAAAAAAATAAACATTTAGGACAAAATCCTGAACAGGACTCTGGAAGGTGGTTTGGTTTAGTGGGGATGAAGATTTTTTCTGGGGGATGCAGCAGGGGGTGTTTGCTTGCTCTAAATAAATCTGGTTTTAAAATGGGACCCCTCCCTCCTCTGGATTCCCAAGAACTCCTTGAACTAATGGTAAGAGCAATTAATTGCTCTATCTCATTCTTTTATTCTTTAAGTAGAAATGTCACAAAAATATACAAGAGACAGAGTATGAATGAGCCAGGAAAAAATAGAGATAAGGTTTGTCTTGCAACTCTCCTCCTTTTCAGGGTACTTGAATTTCAGATGAGAAAACAGAAGGAACAGATATCCTCTAACTATCCTCTCAACTTTATTTCTGCAAAAGGAACAAGAGGCTTATCCTACAGGTTTGTTTTTTACTAATACGCCTTTTTCTGTATGTTCCATTCTTTTGAATTCCTGTTGTTGACATCAAAAGCATTTTCCTCCTTTTGTGTTGTATTCTCCCATCTGCTTCAAACCAGTTAAGGTGATTATGAGAACACATTTATTACAATACACCACAGCAAGGACAAACAGCCCAGCACAGGCTATTCCAAACTACTCCTATCATGTTCCAAAACAGGAAGAAGGCAGAGGAAGATCTGGCCAGAACATACAAATTAAAAATTCACTTGGGATAAACGGTATCCATGGACTAAGTAGTAGCAAGGACCAGGTGCATCATCAGAGAGGTGCCCTTCTTTTGAAATGTCAAAAGGCCCCTTTTATTCAGAGCAGCCAGCTCCAGCCACTTCCTTTTTGCAGCTGCTACACAGCTGCTCATAGCAGGCTAGAGGTAAAGCTACCAACTGTTGATGTCCAAAAAAAAGAACTTTCTCCCTCTAATGATGGGAAGAAAGAGCTAGTCAGGAGAGCAGAGTGCAGAAAAAACACCACCCTGAAAAGAGTAGTTGGATGGACAGAAGAGAGAAAAAATCCATCCTAGGTATGGCCACAGAGTAAAAGAAAGCTATGTAGAATAAAAGTAACCCAAATATTTTTATGCATAATATCTCACAAACTGAGGTTGAAATGAACAGCCAGTTTTCAGATGTTGTTTAACTGATGAGTTTTACTTTTAAATCCTTTGAGAATTAGAATCAAATTCAACTGAATAATAAATCTCCATCTATTTTCTATAGTCTCCATTCTCGGTAGAATTTACCCCACATATTTCTAAGAGTAGCAAAGGCAGTGAAACAGCAACTCATTATCAAAAATCTTTGGCTCTTCTAGAAAAAGCAACCTAAATGCCTAGTTTACTGTAATCACTAAGAAACAACATTATTCTATTTGCCTTCACCTAAATTTCAGCTTGATATGAATGAACCATATAGCCAGGACATTTAAAGCAAAAATCAGTTCAGAAATAGAAAGAACATAAAAATTCAAAGGATCTCTAGAAAAGTTTATCTCATGAACCATCCTATAATTCAGAAACAGTAAGCTTCAGCCAATTGACAATCATAAGACAACATTTTTCTAAGACTGTATCAATTATTCAATGAATTTAAATTTATTTTTTCATATGTACTAACCTTTTCTAAACAAGCGAATTCTACCATTTTACTTCATATCCACTGAACTGACTTTCCCATGCTGAACTTTGAACACATTGAATACAAACACTGGGTTTAATAAAAAATACACAAGATCACAGAATCATAAAATGGTAAGGGGTGACAGGAACTTTAAAGATCACTTAGTTCCAATCCCTGCCACGGGTAAGGATGCCATTCACTAGACCAGATTGCTCAGGCCCCCATCCAACCTGAACACAAAGGCTACTGCAAGGCCGCAATGAGGTCCTCCAAGAGCCTTCTCTTCTCCAGGCAGAACTGCCCGAAATCTCTCCACCTCTCTTCATAGGAGAGGTGCTCGATCCCTTGGGACACCTCGTGGCTTCCTCTGGACCTACTCTAACAGGTCCATATCCCTCCTGCGCTGGGGACCCCAGAGTTGGATGCAGTGTTCCAGGTGGGGTCTCAGAAGAGTGGAGCAGAGGGGAAGAATCACCTCGCTTGACCTTGTGGACATGCTGCTTCGGATGCATCCCTAGGCTGCAAGCACACATGGCTGGCTCATATCCAGCTCTTCACCCACAAAAATCCCCCAGTCTCCCTTCTCAGGGCTGCTCTCTACAACTTCTCCCAGTTTGTGTTCACGTCTGGGGGTGTCCTAGCCCAGGTGCAGCACCTTGCAGTTGGACTTACTGAACTTCATAAGGTTCTCATGGGCCCAACTCTCAAGCTTGTCCAGGTCCCTTTGGATGGCATCCCACCCTTCTGTTGTGTCAACTGCACTGCTCAGATTTGTGTCATTTGCAAACTTGCTGAGATTGCACTCGATCCCACTGTCTGTGTCGTTGAGGAAAACATTGCAGAGCAGTGTTCTCAAAACAGAGCCTGAGGACATCACCCATCACCAGCCTCCACCTCAACACAGAGGCACTGACCACAACTTCCTGGCTACAGCCAGCCAGCCAGCCAGCCAACTCTTTATCCATTGAACTGTCCATCCATCAAATCCACCCATCTCCAGTTTGGAGTTAAGGATGTCATGTGCAACTGTATCAAAGGCCCTACAAAAAGCAGAGACATCTGTCCATCTTCCCACATTGACCATTATCATAATTTCATCATGTAAGGTCACCAGACTGGTCAGGCATGAGTTTGCCACTGCCTCAGATCAGTCTCCTCAACCTTTCTTTTCTGACCTCTGTACCTACAGAATCCTTTCTTGTTATTCTTCACATATGATACACTTCACATAAGATATTCTTTGAAATCTCTACCTTTCTTCTGAAAACTTGACACAAATTAAAAGAAATAGCCATCAGATGTGAATTCCACATAGGAACATACGGTCACTGTGTTCCTACATGGAATTGTGATAAATGTACCTAGAGAATCAGCTCTGAGATTCAAAAATGCAAGATGTACCCCAAGTTTACTATTATCTTTAACATATATATATAGACAGACAGACTGATAAATATATAGACATGTCTTACTATATGAAATCAGATTATTTGCAGCTCTGAGTAGGAACAGTCTTCCATAACTACTGAGCTCTTCAACTACCATGGACTAGAAACATGGCCCTTCTTAAAATGAAGCATCTGCTAACAGAGCATCATCAGCTATTTATACAAATCCATGATACACCTCTAAATGCTCTATGCAGAGTTTTGACAGTTTAGTTTACCCACTCCTCTTGTTAAGTTTGCTACAGGACAACACTTTTGTTGTGCTGAAAGGCATCTATCAACATTCTCCTAAATGGAAACACAATAGATACCACAGCCAATACCTGTCAGTGAAGAAATGAGCTCACATTGGACACATGGAGCAGGACAAAAGACAGTGGGACAAAGACTATCTCCCACAGAACTCAAACCACTCACTTTAAATCAGACAGACTGTAGAGAATTTCTACACATAAAATCACCCTAATTATAGCAGAGCAAGGAAAGAGCAAGGAAAGAGCAAGGAAAGAGCAAGGAAAGAGCAAGGAAAGAGCAAGGAAAGAGCAAGGAAAGAGCAAGGAAAGAGCAAGGAAAGAGCAAGGAAAGAGCAAGGAAAGAGCAAGGAAAGAGCAAGGAAAGAGCAAGGAAAGAGCAAGGAAAGAGCAAGGAAAGAGCAAGGAAAGAGCAAGGAAAGAGCAAGGAAGTAAAAAATAAGTAATTTAGGTTGGATGCAAATTCCACATTCAAAGTATAATGAAAAAAATCCAGCTACACTTTATCCTCTCATCAATCAAGCTGCATTATCAAAAGAGTGATGGAAGTAGCATGGAATACCAAAGCACTATTTCCAGAGATGGGAGTGAAAGTGTCAGTTCTTCTGCATTCCCAGAACAATGATACTATTTGTTTTCAGGAAAAAAGGAAAAAGGTATTTTAAAAACAAGAGTCACATAAGGGTCTCAAGTTCTTTTAGTGTACTCCAGTGCAAATTGCTTTCATGTTAGGCCGGTAGCAATCCTCAAAGTAAATTCAACACACTAACATTGTAACTACCATAATTACTCGTGCTTATACTAAAAGGAGTCACATCCCAGTTTTATGGCCTGTAAGGAGTGAGTCTTAAACAAGCAAGGCACTCCTGGCTCTGAGTGCTGTCCTGGGCATCTTGTCCTGCCTCATCCATCTCTGCAACAGCAGAGGGAGGCTTGAATTTCATAAATACAATGCTTTTTAAAAAATATTTACAGATCCCAGAAAATACTACATTCTCCCTCTGTAACAAACAAAAAGAATACCTGTATTGTCTTTCCAAGGCCCATATCATCTCCAAGAATACACCCTCTTTTATTAGCATAGTGTCTATACAGAAACTGGGCTCCTTCCCTTTGATAATCACGCAGGTATCTGTTAATTGTATACGGGATAAAATCGCCATTGTCAGATAATTTAAAAGCAACTCCAGGAGATGGAAGATTTTGGTCAGGAAAATATGGCTTTTCCAGATCACCTTCATCAAATATTAAGCTTTTCCAGGGTCCTCTACTGTCTTTGACTTTACAAAGTTTTGTTATTAGTATTTTTCTTTCTTCAGACTCCAAGAATGATACAACAGCAAATGATTTTCCATTCTTGTCCTTTTCAAGAGAAGTTATTGTTCCTTCATGAAGTTTTCCATTTTCAAAACAAGGGGCAAGGCATTTCTCCCCAATACGCCAATGATCTATAAAAAAACCAAACACACATAGTGATAAACTGGCCTGATGTACAAAGTAATTAATTTCTTCACTATTAAAACAATGGATATAAATTTAGTTTACAAAATTCATACAACTTCATACAAACACTTTATTGAAGATAGCACTAGAATCAAAATAACAATTACTGTTTACAGCTAGACATAAAATTACAGTTTGCTCTAACACCACTATTTTAGAAATAACAGAAGGTGTATAGGAAAAAAAGCAAAATCCAGATTCCAACGCATTAAGTTAACACAGTGGCTTCACACAGGCAAACACACAAAATGGAAAGACCTCACATTGCACTGGCAATGAAAAATAATACAAGATACCTCTACTAAAAAAACCCAAGATCTTCAGCCTTCACAGTAAAAAGACCTCACAAATAATGGCTCCACACAAAGTTTTCCAAATCTCAACTGAGAGAGAAAGGGGTGTTCTTCTGAGTTTGCAGAAACAATTTCTAATCTTCCCCTGCTCAGTCATACTAAAACAAAGGGATGATTTGATTAATTTCAGAACCTTTATTGTTTCTTATCTATTTGCTGGAGTAAGTTTTGATACTTACAAGAAAGTAATTATCAATTACCATGAGATGCACCTTATTTATAGGAAGGAGTGAGCCAGGGAGAATCTTCCACCAGAGCAAGTATTCATCATTCTGTGACCACTGGTGGTGTATATTCCTGGACACATCAACCCAGACACTTTTCACAGGTAAGGAAAAAAGTTCTGAAGGCAAGAAACTCCACCTTAGCCTATTTTAATGTTTCTGTGTAAAAACTGTAAGAAGACTCACCAAATTCTGAGCACCTAGAAGCATACACTTACAGGATAATGTCCACCATGTATTAGTCAAATCAATGATAACCATCAGTCATTTACTAAATTTATTTAATTATATAGAGAAAACAAAAGCATCCATGTAGCCAAGCCCACTATTCTGCAGCCAGCATTGGCCCTAAGCTGACGTGCAGGTAACAATAAAAACAGTACAAGCCTACAGAACACCCTTATTCAAAAATTCTTTGGCCTCTAAAATATTATTTTAGTTACAGAGATTTCATGGGCCACAGGTAGTTTGTCTGGTTAGTAAATACCAGCAGACTCTCTCTTTCAAGTAGCTCCAGTCCCCTTTCAACACATCCAGATTCCTAGAATTTGGTGACCTCTGATTAAAAATATTGTGGGTCTGCTCTGGATACATGTCACACTTTTGCCTGATGTGAGCTTGGATCCAAAGACCTAAACTGATGGCCCACCAGTTCTTACACTAACAAGATCATAAACCAAAGCCTCTCCATTCAATTCACTATTTTGCAGATCTCTTTAATAATGGCCCCATCATCCTTATTTGGAGTTCAGCCCCACACATTGTGACCTGCTACATAAGCTGCCCTAAGACCCTAAGCCATTCCCTCAGATCTTCTCAAAGACTTGAAGCTCAAATGTAACTTTCTGAGGCAAAGGGTGAAGTACAGGCTGCATATTCAACAAACCATACATAATTAATCCTTAAAGTTCATGGTATTTGTACACATCTCTCATCTCAATGCAAAAATATGAGTACATTAACGTCTTCCAGTAGCATCTAATTCTTTCTGCAATTTCATGAGAACAGGAACCAAAACTGAAAAACTGAAACCAGCTATGTTCAGCACACTGTTATATATGCAAATCAAAGTGCTACAGAGCACTTCTGTAGTTCCTTTTTTTTTACAGCAGTGAAGGGACATGCAACACGTCAAAGCTTTTACTTGAAGCTAAGGAGTTGCATATGGGCCCTCACAACTCCAGTTCAGGTGCAAAGTGGAATAAATTACACTGGGCAATAGTACTAGTGTTACTAAACTCCAAACTTAGTGAGAAGCAGGAAACAATGAGAAAAAGGCTGAGACATGAAATGGTATTAAGAACACCATTGCTGCAAAAGGCCAGAAAATAATGCTGTTAAAGCCAAAGCATGAACTCCTTAGTTTAACTAGCCTGATTCACCAAGTTCTTGGCTTTTGAATTAGAACCATAATTTATGTGGATTTCAGTTTTTAAAAATAAAGACAATTATCTCACATGGCTTCCTAGCATGGGTACAATACACTTGCCAGCAATGATGAAAGCTGGTATTTAAGATGCTTACGTACTTACGCCTTTTACTACAGGTGGAAAAAATGTGCCACTGTCAATTTCAAATGTACTAAATCATGGTGGTAAAGGCCTCCTGTCACATTCTAGTTCCTTTCAACCACTACTCCTCCATGAAATTATGTCGAATGCTTTCTAACTAGTGAGGGTTGACCACTTAATTTAAAATGCAAAGTTTCGTTTTCCTTTCGTTTAATTTTTTTTCTTTTTACACTCTAATAAATGACCGTAAAAAAAGAATTCGAGGATATTGTAGAGCAAGACACATGGAAGACGCTTACCTGGGACACCATCACCACACATTTTAACTTTTGGCGGTGCAAAGCCCGACGGGGGCCGCGGGCGGAGGCACCGGGGGCGGAGGAGCACCGGCGCGCTCGGGACCCACCTCCGCCCCTCCGCCGGGCGGGTCACGGCGGTGCGGGCGCCGAGGGAGGGCCCGGGGCGCCTCAGGCGCCGTGGCTGTCCCCGCTGCCCGCACCGCGGCCGGCCCCGGAGCGCCGCACCCGCGGAGAGCAGAGCCCGCGGCCGGGGCCGCACGTCGGCCGCGCCCCGCCCCGCTCAGTGCCGGTAGCGCCGCGCGGGTATCGCGAGAAGTGCGTTACCATGGTGCTCAGTGCTCAGGGCGCCCGCGGGAAATATCGCGAGATGTTCCGACGGAGCGGCGGCTGTCCTCGCGCTGCTCGATAAAGCTGTGTTCAGCTCTGTCCTCCGCAGAAGAGGAGAGGTTTGGAGCTCTTGGAGTGGGTCTAGCACAGGGCTAGGAAGCCGATTAGGGGTCTTGGGAGCATTTCTTTTGTGAGTACAGGCTGAGGGAGCTGGGCCTGTTCAATGTCGAGAAGAGATGACTGAGGGGACCGTATCAATGTGTATAAATACCTGAAGGGAAGGTGTCAGAGGGTGGAACCGGGCTCTTCTCAGTGGTACCGAGCAATAGGACAAGAGGCAATGGGCACAAACTGATGCACGGAAGTTCCACCTTAACATGAGGAAGAGCTTCTTTACTGTGGGCAGGTGACCATGCACTGGAACGGGTTGTCCAGAGAAGTTGTGGGGTCTCCTTCACTGGAGATATTCAAGAACTGACTGGATACAATCCTGTGGAATATGCTCAAGGATAACCCTGCTTGAACAGGGAAGTTATACTAGATGATCCCCTGTGGTCCCATCTAAGTTTAACTGTTCTGTGATTCTGGGCATCAGGGGTAAAGAGATCTAAAGTTATTCTCTGCGAAAAAAAATTGGAGAGGTGAGGAAGCAGGATGAAGAGTTGATGCAATGGAAGGCAGAGCTGGCACAGTACAGAGCAGCTAGCTGAATGGAGATGATGGGTGCTGAGAGCCAAGGATCTGATATTTGGGAAGAATCAAAATCAAGAAAGACCCGCTTGTTTACAGCCATTCCACCTCCATCCATGAAAACCGCTCTGCTTTCAGGGGAGCTGGACTGGACACAGTTAGGTTTTGCAGATTGTGAAGGCAGTCAGTAGCAATTACCCTGTTCTTTCTAGAAAAAAAATGGAAATCTATCACCAAGAAATCTATTCAGATTGACTCATATCTCAGTAGCAATGCAATGGAGTATTACATGAGCAGTATGGCTTCCCAGATCCTTGCTATTATTTTGACAAAATGCCTTCACATGCATTTAATTGCGCTATACTAATTTCACTTCTGAAAGTTAAACGCTGGTGTGTACGGAGCATGTAAGATCTGTTTTAAAATCAGCTTTGATTTTTAATGCAGAAGACAACATATTTTGGATGATTTCTCCATTCATTTTAATTATCTTTCCATTTATATTATTTTGGTGAATTTTTAGAAGGGATTGAACATCAGCAGTAAAACACCTATATTCTTTTGGTATATGCCACAAAATTCTGTACAATGAAGATGGATAATTAGACTACCTAATCAAAATTCTGCATCCTACAGTATTTTCAGAAGCAAGACAAGGCAGGAGATACAGGTCTCCATGCTGTTTCTGCTTGCAGCAAACATGCAAAAGGCTGCCTTGCCTTGTTTGCTCTAGGAGTAATACAGACTTGTGCAGCCTAGGGCAGCATTAATTTGCTTCTTTGTCTGCTATTAGCCAGAATTTTGTTCCAAAAGAGGTTAATGGAAGATGGGTGATGGTTGCTCAGCCACTTAAACTAGACTAATAGGAAAATAGCAAGTATGAAAGAACCATGTTAGTGCTATGTTAGAAAGTTCCACTATGAACTACGTGAGCATTGAGCACCCCATACATTACAGGAGGCTGCTCAGCAATAGAGAATAATATAGTACCAATGTTACATTATTTTTAAAAAGTGTGTAGTCATGCCTTCATTCCAGAGGAAGATGAAGGGAACTATGCCAACCACAAAAATATCCCAAAACTGAAAGGAGTGGCATGCCACATTTTAAAATTCTCACTGAAGAAACATGTGTAAACTGTACAAGACTTCAGGTACATAACAGACCTTGATCCTGAGAGCATCTTTGAAAAAGGAGCAAGAATATAGGTTCTGATTCTAAGGAAGCTTTAAAAATGTATTGTGTTTGAAGATGAATGTGTGTTTATTCTACAAGGTTGCATTTGATTCTTATAAAGCTGTTTGTGCTTAATAAGGACTCTGATGCAGGCTTGAGCTGCTGTTTTACAGTGACAAATTTGATATTCTGCCTTCACAATATAAAAAATAAGAAAAATTCTTTCTTAAGCACTGCAATTTCTCTGATAAAAAAGGCAGAAAAATTCTGCATACAGTTCAAAGATCCATTGGGCTTCTATGTCAGTGATAAGACCTTGGTGGCTTAGCTGGAAACAGAATTTCACTGAAAATCCTGATGAAGTCATTAGGATGAGTCTTCCTTACATTTAGAGACACACTTGAAGCTTTTCCATTCAGGAGAGAGAACAAAGGAAGGAAAGCACCCTTAAGAGGAACAGCTGGGTGGCTGTGTGTCAATGGGTAGTTGTCTTTTTACCTTTAATGTTTCTCTTGCCAGCTACAAGCAGTTTCTGTATCTTTACTTCACTTTGAAGAAGAAGCTGACTGAGATTAGGACTTCTTTCATGCAATACCATGTTTGGACTGGGCCCATAATGAAAATGTATCCCAAGGCCAGAGAATATTTAGCTCTGTCACGTATCTTTAAAAGTTTTTGGAAAATATAAGTCCTTTCAGGAATCTTTCTAGCACAAGTTAGAAGTTATTTTCTGGGATGTCAAAAATAACTCACATCATGTTTCTTCAGGAAAAGATTTGTAAAAGATTTCATTTTGAAAAGCTGTTACTGTTACTGAAAAGTTGAATATATCCAAACTCTATATTAAAATATGAACTCTCTTCATATCTGACTTGGTTTAGATTTCATAAGAGAAGTGTTAGGCTCAGATAACAACCAAAGCGAATACCATAATGGGGATAAGCACTTTTTAAATATGTGCTATATCCCTGAAAGCATTTCACATGTAACATTGTGGCCTTCCTGTTCACTCTTCTTTGACAGAGAGAGGAGACAAATTAACTGATGTGCATCTAAAAAGGGCAGCTTGGTTACAGCATCCTCCACATCAGTATGTCTGAAAACACAGCAAGACTGATTCTCAGATACACTCAGCATTTGAAAGCCTAACCAAAACCCACAGAAAGTACAGGCACCTAGAATTCTTTTAAATGTTGGTTGTTCTATCCTATATTAGAAAATAGAATATAGGAGAAAGAAGAGGTGGTTCAATTAATTGGCATTAACTAAGCATGATAGTGTTAAAAGTGCCATAAAGAGGAACTTCACAATATGATATTCACCAAATTAACATATTGGAAAGCCTTTTGTATCTTCAACAGTTTATTTGCCACAGTGTTTTAAACATTACCCATCAACAGTATTCAAGAAGCTCTCAGAGTCCTTCATGAAAATGAGCATGACTGGGTGTTCTGAATCATATCCATACCAATCAAAGAGAAGGCATTAGAGCCCTGGTGTGCAGCTGCAGGGCCACAGTTCCTCCTTGGGATCACAGAGATGTGGAGGCATAGCTCACCCAGCTGAATGCCACAGTGGGCAGATGTGGGCAGGATTTAGAAAGGACAGGTCAGGACAGTAGGAGCAGATTTGGCATTTTATCTCAGACAGCAGCAGGGATATGTGGAGCTCTACCTGGTCTGTAGAGAGTCCAGGGTCTTGAGAGAAGGGAACAAGGCAAATCTAGTAGTAGGATCATGACCCTGAACTTCAGGAGTTTGCTGGCTTAGGCATTAGGGGAAAGCAGTATATGTTGTTCATCTTGATTTCAGCAATGCCTTCATTCTTTTCTCCTGTAGCATCCTCAATATACAGGCTGATGAAAAATGGACTATGTAAATGAGCAGTGAAATGATTGAAAGCAGGCTGGTCTTGTGGACTTAAAGGAGTGTCATCAGCAGCACAAAGTCCAGCTGCACTCCCATTACTAGTGTATTATTTTGGAGTATGATACTGAGGCTGGTACTGGCCATTAATGACTTGGATGGTGGGACAGAGTGCATCCTCAGCAAGCTAACAGATGACACTCAGTCGGGAAGAGTGGTTAACAAACCAAATACTCATGGTCCCATGCAAAGGGGGGAGTGACATGCTGGAAAATGGTAGGTAGTAATCTCATGAAGTTCAGCAAAGTCACACACCAGCAGTCAAATAACCCTGCACTATAAACTGGAGGTCAACTAGTTGGAAACCAGCTTTGCAGAAAAGGGCTTAAGGGTCCTGGTGGAGATCAAATTGTCCATGAACCAGTGGTGCATCGATCAGCATGGACAGCCAACAGTCTCTTGGGCTTTGTCAGGAAGAGCACTGCTCAGCAGCCCAAGGGGAGTGAGCCTCCTGCTCTGTTCAGCCCAGGTTAGACCACATCTGAAGTGCTGTGTACAGTTCATATCTCCCCACAACAAGAAAAACATGAAGATAGTGGAGAAAATCCAAGGCCATGAAGTTTAAGAGATTGTAGTTGGAATTGTGTAGCCTTGAGAAAAGTCTTGGGAGATCTTGTCTGTGCACAAACATTTGATGAGAGGGTAGTAAAAGGATACTTTGCTCAATGGTCCACACAGCAAGAGGCAACAGGTGCAAACTGAAACAGGAAATTCCATCTAGAGATAAGGAAAAGCTTTTCAGCTGTGGGAGTGGCCAAACACTGCCACAGTTTGCTGAGAGGGGTAGAATTCCACATCCTTGAAGAGAGTCAAAACTCATCGGGACACAAGCCTGAGCAACCTGCTTGAGGTGACCCTACTTGGAGTAGGCATAGTTGGGCTAGATGTACTCTAGTGCCTTCCACCCTTGGTCATTCTGTGAGTGAGGAATTGTGTGGGTTAAACTGAGTTCTGGTTAACTGCTTGTGCTATTATTTAAAAATTAAGAGCTGTAGATAGCAGGCAGGTTGCTTAGACAGAATCCAGCTTGTCCTATTTCACAGTGCTGTTAAGATAAGGCACCATTTCTAATCTACTTCTATGTATATTTCTCATCTTATCTTC